CCACTTTCAGCGATTCAGCCCCACTCCTCCCAGGCGTTGTAGCCCAGGCTCTAAACCATTTCCCGCACTTACCCCTTGGTGTTCCCATGGGAGAATCAGAGCCCACAGAATAAAGATGGTCAATGAATAGTTCTCCATTCTTTCTATTACGGCTTAGCCTTTCATCCGGAAGAAATGAAAAAGAGAAAGCAAATATTGTCTTCTAACCATCAGAAACAGTAACAGAGTGGCTCTTTGGAACAAATAGTTTTTTGATTGGCTCAGAGGCGATGTTTCTCATCAGTTGCTGGGCAGAAGCCACTAAGGAAGGTTGAAACGAAAACTGAAAGTACATTGAATTGTACATGTTGAAGAAAAACTCCAGCCCTATCTCCCTTAGTGTTTGTGTTTCTGTGTTTATCTATTTGAACCGTTCTTGTGTGTGGATGTATATAAGTATTTCTTTATATTCACCTGCCTTGTGTCTTTTATATCATGATAGAAATATTAGCAGAATGGAGTAGGAAAAGAAAAAAATTAAATGTGCAAAGAGAGGAAGATGTACACTAATTAAAATGCTTCTGTGGCAGTTTGCTTGCATGTAGATAGGTATGTAGAAGAGGAGGATCTTTTTTACAGAGCCAAATAAAGGTACGAATGGAAAGAAAATGAGACAAACTGCACCTCTTTAAGAACCTCTGGCATTTAGGCTTAGGATATGTTATCAAATAATATAGTTTTTCTGGTTTCCAGAGGCAGTGCTGCTTGACATTGTTTTATGTTTCCCAGGAAATTCTTAATGCAGATCTTTCTGAGCATCTTCATTCACCCTCAGCTCCTGGTTTATGCTATATTGTATTTTCTTGTGTATTTGTTTCTCATGCTGCCAGTGGAGTACATATTCTCTGAAGCTGAACACTCCATAGGCTGTGGTCTCTGTAAGGCTCATTTCCTTTACACCATCTTGTAAGGAGTTTATAGGACACTCTAGTTCTCCCTGTGGCTTAGGACCTCAAAACACACTTTTTTGGGTTGCAAGCCAGAAAGCTCCTAGGACTATCATGACTGGAGCTGATGGGATTTGATTATATTGCAACAGTTTGAATTTAGGCTGTATGGTGTCTGCTTGAGATGGCTGGTTGCTTCTGCAGCGTGCATGCTGCCTTCTTCTTAGTGATAAGGCATAATTTTCTTGGGTGCTGCAACCTGCTCTTCCCCCTTGTAGATAGGGGAGGCCAAGGGACTAAGTTGGAGCCAATGGTTTGTAGGTGAAAGTTGTGGGCTTGCACTTCTCCCAGAAATCCTTCAAAGGGAGGCCAAAATAGCTGGGAGTGTGAGGGTACACTCTCCCTACTTCCTTCTTCCTCTTGCCTAGAACATAGACTTTGGACCTGGAGGTACAGTAGCCCACCTTGGGACCAAAGCGTAAAGGAATATCAGCAGTTATGAAGCAAGTAGAGCAAGAATTCTGAGGAGTATCCGTGAATAGGGAAAGACCAAAAGAGGACCCTGGGGACTGATGAAGCAGATGCCAAATAGGCAGGAAGATTTACTCAGGTTGATGGAGAAAGGACAGTGTGTATACTGGATTTGATGGCTGGAAAGTTATTCTACCTGGCAGGAACAATTTTTATGGCTTGCTGTTAACCAATAAAATATGGTAAAGCTGATGGGATGTCCCTTCCATGATTGCATTATGATGTGTAAGACTGTCTTGCTAGCTGACCCACTCCAGAGGCTCTGTCTTCCTGGCTGGCTTTGAATAGGAAAGTAGTCATCCTGGGAGATGCACACAGCAGGGAGCTAAGAAGGCCTGTAGGAGCTGAGAGCAGCCTCCAGCCCCAACCTGTAGGGAGTTGGGGCCCTCAGTCCCACAACTGTAAATAAATAAATTCTGTCAACAACCTGAGTTTTCTGGAAAAAGGATTTTCCTATAGTCAAGACTCTAGATGAGGCTATAGCCTGGCCAACACCTTGACTTTTGCTTTGTGAAGTTCTGATTAGAGAAGCCCACTAAGCTCTGCCTGGACTTCTGACCCACAGAAACTGAAGTGATGAAAGTGTACTATTATTTGTTTATTTTTGAGACAGAGTCTTGCTCTATTGCCCAGGCTGGAGTGCAGTGGCACAATCTTGGCTCACTGCAACCACTGCTTCCTGGGTTCAAGAGATTCTCGTGCCTCAGCCTACCAAGTAAATGGGATTATAGGTGTGTGCCACCATGCTAGGCTAATTTCTTATCTTTTATTTTTTGCGTTTTTAGTAGAGATGGGGTTTTGTCATGTTGGCCAGGCTGGAGAAGTATGCTGTTTTAAACCACTAAGTTTGTGGTAATTTGTTATGCAGCAATAAATCACTGATGCATTAGGTAAGTGAAACAGGGAGTGGCAACAAACACGAATATAAAGAGAATAACTTGTGTTTCCAGCCCTGACCCATTGCCTGGACTGCACACTTATTATTGACCGGCCTACTCTACATCTCTGCAGCGATCTCTAGTAAGCTCCTCCACCGAAACATATCCAAAAGTGACCTTTGGATTCCATGCTGGCTCCTGCCCTGACCTCCACAACCGGCTTCTCCCTCATTTTCCCCATCTCAGTAAGTGGCAACTCCATCTGTACAGTTTCTTTGGACCAAAACCTTGTGGTCACCCTTGATGCCCTTCTTTTTCACACCCCACCCGTAAATTTATCAGCAAAGTCTTTTTATTCTGTCTTGAAAATAAATCCAGCATCATA